CATTAGTAATATCGAAGAGAGAGTTTACCTGCATGACAGACCACCCAGAATCGATTGTATTTCAATACCGCGAGTGAAACCTGGACTGTTCTTCTCAAATAAAAAGTTGTGTGACTAATTTGCTTTTTTCCCTATCCTTTAGAAAAGTGCCGACGTCAACGACAACATTTTCGGCTTATTTTTCTTCAGAGCAAACATAACACCTATCATAAAATAAACTGCGGATAATCCTAGAAAAATGTGCACATTCACGTATATATACTCAGTCGTTATTTTAAATTCAATGAAAACATGCAGATTTTATTAAGATGCTATCTATGACGCTAACTTATGTTTGAATCATCATGTATGGCACGCATATTCTCACGATCGCGTTATAAGTGACTCGATCGGAATACAATAACGAGGTGCTCCGTCGCATCGCAGTTTTTGCCCCGCTCTCGACTGATGCAAAATTCAAACGGATCGGCGTGACGCACTTTTCGAATGACCCTCGCGCGCGAATCTAGGCTCAAAAATCCGAGTCGTCACGGACCCGCGAGCGGCCGAGATATATCGCGTCTGCGATCGCGTCGCCGATACACCTGCGCGAGAGATCTCCATACGTCGGCGCGTCGGTGCACCTCGACGCGGAAGACCGGCAAGGTCAGCGCGGAGTGGAACGTTCCCGCGGCTGCAGTCAGGTGTGAATGTTCGCGGTATCGCATGCCGGGGGCCCACGCATCGCGGAAAATCGCGCGACTCACCCACGTCACTATGTAATTTCCTCGTAATCCTCCTCCGCAGGAAGGAAGTAATACCGTGGGAAATGACGAAGTGACGTGGGACGACGCGATCGATGCGATCGACCGAATAATCATCAAGCGATGTGTCTCAGTGGGACGACATCCCACGACTGTCGCGGCGGGATCAAGCCGTCTGTTCCATCTTTTCATTCATCAATTCTGCCTCCGGTCTCGCGGCTAAAAACCAGATTTCGCCTTATAGGTTCGACGACGGACGCCGCGCCGTTTCGCCCCGCCGCGTCTACGCCGTGGTTTCCCGCGTTTTCTGCGGTGATCAATGACTCGAGATTGCAGCCGCGCTTGCTGGCGTCGCGTCGTCGCGAACGCGCTCCCAGTCTGCTGCAATATGCGTGAGTGTGCGAGAACGAGCGACCGGTCGGCCGGGACGGACCGGGTGCACGTACTCGCTCACGCATACGGGCGCAGCGCGCGTGCCGTTGTGACATACGCGATTACCTTGGACTTATATCTATATGAACGCTGATGCGTATAATGAGGCGTAGGACTGCAGTCATTGTCGACATCGATAGGCAGTTAATGGCGCGAATAACTCGCGGTTTCGATGTCGCTTGAATAATCTTGAGCCGCGATAAGCGGTCGGGGTGCGCGTTAAAATTCAACAGTGCTATTTATTTAGCGCTACGGAGATGTCATTTGAATAAAACTAGTCAATAGATAATACAGCTGGATGTTTTTACAGCTTCGACACACAATGCTGTCGTAAAGATAATGATATTGTCACCCATGTAGAATTGCACGGGAATGATGAGCAACTTTAGTTAATGCATGATATCAAAATTGGAAATATTTTAAAGAAATATATTATTTTATATATACTATTTTTATATATCATTATTATGTAATCGCGTTACGACACAACATGCATATAATTATTTGAACTTGGCCGGAGACGCGTCTCCTGATAATTTATATTTATTAAATATTTATTACGAGAGAGATATTTATTGAAACATTTATTGAATTTTTATTCAAATTCTTATATCACTAGTTAAATTATTTATACAGAAATTAACATAAGAATGATATAATTTATACAAAAATGCATGTAATAATTAAAATTTATTTTTATTTTTTCAGATTGAAGGCGTACATACTTAGCTCCGATTCAACGATTGGTGAGTGATTTTATTTACTATACTTATTATTACACTGATATAATGCTTTCTTATTCTCTAATATTGATTTTTTATATAATTGTTAACACTGTGTTTTGACAATTACATTTATGTAATTTACATTTTTACAAATAATAAAATATAAAATTACTTTCTCTACTTATTTTAACAGCGAAAAATTTCAAATTTTATACAAGTTATATATATTGAATTTATCATTCTTAAATCGTAAAATTTTGGAAATATAAATTATATAAACTTATATATAAAACAGAAAGTTTCATGGAGACAAATAAAAATTAAATTTTTAATTTATACAATTTGAAATATATGTTCATGAATATGTTTTTTACTTAATTTTATTAATAAATTGAATAGTTCAATGTTCTTGCAATGGAGCGAATTGTCAAAGCACGGTTTCAAATGCGCAACTCATTGATGCGACGAAAAAACCGCGATTATTGATACAATTGCTTATGCAGCAATTGATATAATTGACTTGTTTTTATGGGGCACGTTTCATTGAGTGATTCTTTTCTTGCGCCGGGCATCATAAAATTCAAAGGCCTTTAGATATGATATACTTCGCAAAAAGAGCTCTTACAGAGTGACTAAAAAAATTGGTACATTATTATCTTTTCTTACTGTCATTTCGTTATAACCTTTATAATTAATATCAAACAATTTCTAGCTGTTGCTCAATTTATAATTTATAATATAAGAATTAGCAGATTTTAAATTATGTATTCCTCCACTAATGAACAACACATACTTGATTTATAAAATAGCTGTATCATTACGTTCGCTAAATTGCTGTGTGATGTCGGTCGAGTTGAAATCTCTATTAAACAATTATGAACCAGCAAGCACGATGATGCACAATAATTATGCTCGACGTATATGCAATTATTATTTGTTCATTATCTAAATATGTACATAATTGTGACAACACACGTATACATAATTAAATATTATTATTAAAAAGAATAGTAAATTTAACTTCTTTTTTTTTTGCCATATTAAAAGTAACGTAAATATCTTTTACAAATTGAAATCACAAGATAAAAGTTAAACGTGAGAAATCTTTGTAAAATCTTCTCAATCCGTTATTCTTCTAACAGATAATGAGTACAAAAAGTTAATTAGGCCACGCATGTACATATTTATTCTTCGAATTTTTTATCTTATCTTTGCGAATATGAGAACCAAAGCATGGACGATGCAAGTAATGACGCGTGAAGCTCAGTGCAACACGTATGAGCGCATAATGCGGAGGAGAGAGGTTATTATCGGTGCGATAAGCGCGTAATTAGATATACGGACGCGAGTGCGCGGCGGCGAATTAATCTCGCTTATTAATACCACCGCGTCTATTAAATCGAGGCAAAGAAAAGCGTCGCGTTGTTGCGTATCGGTACAAGCTAATAATACACCATCAACCTGTCTCGCGTTGCAAGGAAAAAAGAATCGTGACAACTCGACATTTCATTGCACGCGCGTTGGGAAAAGCGATCGTAACCGGTGGATATCTTACCGCCGATAAGATCCATGCATTACTGAAACGCAATTCTGCAAAGAGATGCAGTTTATACCTAGGTCAGTGGATAATATATGACGCAATTAATACCGAGTTGGAAGTAATCTCTCGCTCGGTACCGTAATCGGGACGCTTTAAATCAAGTCAGGCCGCTTCGATTCCGTCGTTTCCGCGATAAAAGGTAAAGTCGCATGAATCCCTACGATTATCAAATATAAGAGATTACGCTTGCGTGTGAATTATCGTATTCAGATGCTGGTCGAGCATCACGAGGAAAAATTTATTTTGTCGGGTCACTTCGGTATTACACGACGGATATTTTTCTTACAAGCCGGTCGGATCGCGTTTACCTGCGACGCGTGCGCGTAGGTCAGTGCAAGAAGCATGTAACGCAACTAATGTGCGAGGCGTAGGTATGACGAGTGCGTCAAGTATGGAAAAACAGCTTTCTCTCTCGACAGGTTCAGGTGGCGTACGTAGGAATTAAGCAGATAAACACACGCGGCGTAATACGTAGTAATATCGAGTGTGCGCGCGCACTCGCGTCTGCGGCTGGCAATGCGAGATATTCGTTATGCGAGATAAAACACCGCGAATGTACCGTAGCATTCACGAATACTACGTGCAATAAGTTAGCCTCGTTTGCGGTGTTAATTCACACTTTCGTTTTCCAACTTACACGCTTCCACGGAAATACGCGGACCCGATTGCTAATTACGGCGTGCGCGTCACACTAATCAGCACGCACGATGAAAAGAAAAACAATTGAACCGCATGTGCATTCCGCCGATTACGACCGCAGTTTCCCGTTAATTGATGCGCGAGGTGAGATGCGTGTTTTCAATTATCGTCGGTGGTGTAATGAGTCGGGAAGGGCAGAAAAAAAAGGGAAAAAAAGGTCATTTTGCCGCTGCCAAAGTCATTAACGTTGGCACGTTAGCATAATAAATCACGCGTCCCCTTATAATATCATTAAATTATATAACGCGCGATGATATTCAACATCGACGTATTTCTGCGTGGGAGTAATTACGAGAATCGCTATTTATAAAACCGATACAGCGACTTGACTCATTAGAGCTCGTGCGATATTCTCCGCGAGAAATTCTCGCAAAACTTTCCCGATTCTTCAATCGCCCTGAATCATAATATTTTTGACACGAAGTATCGCCTTTATATTTTTTTTTATCATTTTTCTAAAATCCAAAAATGTAGCAATTTACACGAATTGCTCTCCGCGCGCGGCGAATAAATTCGCGTCGAAACTAAAAGTGCCAGTTCTCTTTAATGGGTTAAGAATGTGCATCACGCAGGCAGGAGAGTCACCGATATCGATCGCGGGCATTAACGGAAGGAAGCGGAAATTCGACAGTGTGCCTCCTGGAGGACCATAACGAGCCGTTATTCGGCTATACTCTTTCGGGCCGTAATGCGAGTACACGAGACGGGAGGAGCCGGGGCTTGACTTTAGTAAGAGTTTACGAGGGCAGGCAACACGGGGTTAATTCAATCAGCCTATAATCCCAACTCTAACCCTGATTACCCCCGGAGAAAGCGGCTGGCAGTTCGAGGCGATTCGATCCTGATTAAAAGGTTTCGTAGACGGTTTCGGTCCGGCCACCGACTATCGGTGCCTAGAGAGGAAATTCCACCGCTTGAGCGATTTGCTTTTTGCGAAAAAAAAAAGTAAGTCCTGCAGTAATGATTATGTGTCATTAATTAAAATGGCGCGTAAGTAAAAGCCGCACCGTCACGTCATATATTCAATTTACATTACGGATATAGGTGTCGTAAATCCTATTATGTAAAGCAGCCATGCGCGCTGCCGTTTCTTACTTGAATATAAGTACATCTAAAATACGCGTCCGTTTATAGTATAATAATAAGTATTAGTTATTTAATAATATATTTGTTCACGAATATATATATGTATCATAGGTTTTTAATTTCTCTAAAAATTTCTAGTAGTTTTATTAAAACGTCAGAAATTTCACTTCTTTGCTTTGTATGATTCTTTTTTAGGAAACGCGACTTCAATCGCAATAGAAAATTCGTGACTCCTGCTTTTTTGTGAATGCTATTTTTAGGCTTTTATCAACGAAAAAAAATGAGGCACCATTAAGATTAGTGGCTCGCGGTTCATTCACCGCTCGAGTAGAGCAGAAACAATGGAGCACTCGCTCAACGATCCATTCTGCCGCGCGCACTTCGAAGTCCGTCTGAAAATGGGTTAAGTGCGTTTAAGATAATTTCGAGTTCTTAAAAGCTATTAGTTTGTCTGTGCAGCAGCGCCCGCGCGCGTCTCCGGCCGCGGTGATGAATGCGTGGTACGCTTTATAAAAGCGCGTAAAGATCTTGATTACAACGGGATGAGATTTACTCGTTGCCCGCATAGTATAAATATTCTTTCTTTCGTGCTTGCAGCCTCGCAATTTAACATCATTATCTTCTTAATGCGCTCTGTTATTTATTGTACGAGAATATTCGAGGATAATAAAGGTCTGTTCTGATATAATAACTGCACAGGAAGGTACTTTAAAATATGCATTATAAAGTTTTTGCCAGAAGATATAATTAAATTCGACAAGAACGATTAGAGAGATTTAAAAATTAAAACTTTTTAACAAAAATCCCTCTGTCTCTTAACTCTGATATATTTTTTTTTATAATTCATTACAATAAACTTAATTCATATTTTTCAATAAATAAACGTGACAAAGATACAAAGAGACATAAAAAGATGATCAATTCTAATGATTTGATGATTATAATTAATATAATAGTTATTCTTTCATTTAATGAATCTAATCAATTAGATAATTGTGTGACATGAAGAACATTGACTTCATTGTTCGGGGACCGCTTGATATTAACTGTTGGGGATCAGATTTAATTACAAGATATATGATATCTCTGGAGGGTTCTATGCTCCGCTGTCCTTCTTTGCACGTTCTCGACATGTTGGAGTATCTGTACTTGTCTCATCTGTCCTAATCAACTTATTCGCGTTTATTGCAAGTTGTTGGTGTCGATCTTATCTTTCACGATATTATAAAAGCATTAGTCCTCATACCGCAATCGTTTTTCCGCGATAACATATTTCGTAACATGCGAGCGAACGGCGCAGTTACGATTGGTGGATTCGTGGAAATCGATGCGTGCGTGAAGCCGAAGCGCAACTTTCGTGCCTTTATTTAGTCCGTGTCCCATTTGATGAATGAGTAACCGATAACGATCGCTGGTGCCATCAAATAGATAATGCGACTATTTGCTAGTATTAATAATGATGCATCATTGTTATCTTTTCGATTTGACGTGCATACGTGATTTTAATAAAATTAATTCACAATTTATCACCCTCTCCATCAAGCAGAATCCGTATATCAGCAGATTTATCATCGATTAGGTTATCATTTTTTAAAATAGCTTTCACACGAAGCCAATTGTGAAGGGATCCTCGGAG